CTGAGGAAAGCCTGAGGAACACTGTCACCCCTGAGGAGAGCCTGAGGAACACTGTCACCCCTGAGGAGAGCCTGAGGAACACTGTCACTCCTGAGGAAAGCCTGAGGAACACTGTCCCCCCTGAGGCGAGTCTGAGGAACACTCTCTTTTTGTCTCCTGCTCTCATGGTGTCTTTAACATCACGTCTGTCTAAAAACATTAGACACCCATTTTTGAGCCATGGCATAACTTCAGGAAAACATCCCCCGGCTGGACATGAAGTCTACCTCCGAGGGCGTCCAATGGGAAGCACTGTGCTGGCGACTGGAGCGTCTGAGACGTGCCAGCTCTCCCTAAAATGAGAAGGAAGGAAAACGGCGGGGGAGTCAGCCAAGATCAGCGAATACGCAACTGCAAGAGAGACGCCATAGATGCCCCACACTCCTGACTCTGAAACTGTGATCACTGATCCCAGTCAAGTGTGGCATTGAGTGTCAGGAAAGAAAAGCACAGGAAAGGGGGGGCTGCCTCACTGCACAAAGAAATACCACAGCCATCATCTGCCCTGTGTCTGTGGGTCAGACTCCCCCGCCACTCCAGGGTGTGTGTGTGTGCACGGGTACGTGTGTGTGTGTGGTATATGCGTGTGTGCGTGTGTCTGTGTGCACGTGTGTATGTGGTATGTATGGGGTGTGTGTGTATGTGTGTGTGTGTGTGTATGTCAAGGACAATCGGGGTGTCATTTCTCAGGCACTGCCCACTTTTGGGGGGTCGGGGATATTTTACTGGCCTGGAACCTGCCAAGCAGACGAGGCTGTTTGTCTAGAAAGCCCCAGGATCTACCCGTCACCACGTCCCCAACACTGGGATTAAAATCCATCAAGCTTGGAAAGTAAGAGTAAGGCCAGGCGTTGGTGGGGCACTCGGGAGGCAGAGGCAGGCGGATCTCTGTGAGTTCAAGGCCAGCCTGGTCTACAAGAGCTAGTTCCAGGACAGTCTCCAAAGACACACAGAAAAACCCTGTCTCGAAAAAGAAAAAAACAAAGGGTGAGTGAGTGAGTAGATCAATGGATGAATGAATGAATGAGTGAATGAGTGAATGAATGCATGAGGGTTCTGGGGAGCAAACGCAGGCCCTCGTGTTTAAGCACCTCACTGACTGAGCTGCCTCCTATGTTTAAGCATGTCCCTACGCTGTCTCTGCCGGGGTCCTTCAGGGACCGCACTGCCTGCTGGACAAAGAGACTGTCCGAGTGGGAAGAGCCAGCGGTAAGAAGGTGACGTTGCGGCAGCCGGCTGCTGAGTTGTCACCGGTGTCCAGTTTACTTCATCATCACGAGAGGACCATGTGAGCAGCTCGTCTCCTCAACAGAACCAATGCAGTTTACTATCATCAAGGGAAAAGCAGACGAAACACGTACACCTGTCTGCCCCGGCAGGCTGGGCCTGTCTTCAGGAGCTCCAGAATAAACCTGAAACGAGGTGAACTCACACACACACAGCACACACACAGCTCACATCACACACACACAGCACACACACAGCACACACACACAGCACACACACACACCACACACACACACACCACACACACACCACACGCACACAGCGCGCACACACACACAGCACACACACACAGCACACACACACAGCACACACACAGCACACACACACACAGACAGCACACACACACAGCACACACACACAGCACGCACACAGCACACACCACACACAGCACACACACACACAGCATACACACACAGCACACACACAGCATACACACATAGCACACACACACACAGACAGCACACACACACACACACAGACAGCACACACACACAGACGACCACAGCGAGGGACACGTGAGGACCAGACAGCAAGGACTGTCACAACGCTGGTGCCCTGACTTCCCAGTGGGCCCAGTCTCCTCCAGATGACAGAGGTGGGGTTCGTTAAATGAGCACCGGGCACTTTAAGGGTTAAGTGCAGAGAACCCCAGGCCTCATCCCACGAGATTTGGGGGGGCCAAAGCAAAATACTCGCTTCCCCGCAGCCTGAGAGGGGGACTAGGCCCGAGCGCACAGTGCCGAGGCTAGCCTAAGACACTTGAGCTAGCCTTAACTTAGCTTGGATAACCCACGATTCAGGCAAGGCTCACACGGCTACCCGGGCCCAAGCTAGGACGGGGGAATTCACATCTGCTGCGGGGACATTTCAGATAGGCAGGGGCAAACAGGACTGGCTGGCACTTGGTGTCTACAGAACACGGTAAGGACAGGAGCCACCGGGTACGCGGCGGTTGGCAGAGGTCCTGGGCGGTGGAGACATGGTCATGGGGAGAAGCCTCATCCCCAGTGTGCCAACTCTGACACCCAGCCTTCCTGCAGAGGCCTCTCCACAAGGGTGATGAGCCCCACCCACAGTAACCGGGGCCGCCTCCAAAACCATCTGTCTTTCCCCTCTCGACCTCGCCATCCCCGAGGATAAAGGGTGGGCTCCAATCAAAGGCCAGGAGCCAGTGGCTTCCAGCTGAGCACTGGAAAGGGAGCAGAGAGGGCGGGCGGCGGGCGGGAGCTGCCTGAGGTGAGGGCTCATTTACCCCTTGGGTCCCTCCTGCGAGACAGCCTAGTCCAGGGCTGTGTGCACAGAGACCCATGGGGCGCTATTGCCTCCTGCCTGCATCTCTTTGGCCTACGGTGACGGTCACTGAGCAGCCGGCCCAGGGGCCTGCCACGCAGGCGTCTGCTGCTTTCCTGTCTCCGCACCAAAGCAGCGACCGCCAAGTGTGGGCGCCGAAAGCTTATTGTAGCATGGCCTGCTTCGTGGAAACCACTTTAAAGGACGGGATCACTCGCTAGGGATTGCGTCCTATGCTGCTTTTTGTGACGAGAGCCCTTTGTACGGGTAGCGGCCTCTTCCAGGCACATCACTCTGCATGAAGAGCGTGCGCGTGCCCGCACACCTGATGGCCGTTCTACGTCCGGTGAGTGCCGGGCTGTTCCTGCTCTGGAGCTCTTACAGGCGGCGCTGCTAGGAACGGCTTCCTATCTCCTGGGGCACATGAGCATAGGATCTCACTAGCTAGGTGTCGAGGAGTCGCCTGAGCCGTGGAATGCGTACATCTCAGTTTGGGTACTTGATATCAAAGGGCCTTCCGTGTTTAAAACTCCAGCCAGCAACTTACAGGAAGGGGTCTCTGACTGCTGGGCACCCAGCACCCCGTGTGGGTGTGTTAAGCCTTGCTCGCTGTTAAGTATTTTGGTGGGTGGGTAGTGTTATTTTGCAGATTTGGTTTTTCATTTTCAGGATCACAAATGAAGTTAGCAGACGTGTGTGTTTGCTAACGGTGTGGACATACTCAGTTTTTTGTTGTTGCTTTGTTTTTTGTGTTTTTTGTGTTTTTTTTTTTTGAGAGCCTGCTTCTCTTGCCCGCTAGATGGCAGAGTTCTTCCTCGATGCAGAACTACCGGCTGGGAGAAACCAGCTCTGAGGTCTTCTGTGGAGAAGTGTGACCAGGAAGGGAAGGCCTCTCTGTTCCGAGAACCAGCCGTAGCAATGCTAAGTGTGCAGCCATGGTGCAGGGCATGGAATAGAGCAGAGTCTGAAAACCAGAAGCAAACGACCCCGGGAAACGCACGCCATCAACACCAACACCACAGGGTCTTCAGCACACTGGGGACAGACAGCAGGAAACTGAGTAGGATAATGGGTATAAAGCGCCGCCTGGTGGCGAGACACTGCCACTGCCCTTCTCAAAGATGAAATCAAAATCAAAATCGAGTCATTTAAAAATGTACGTAGAAGCCTGTGCACTAAGTACATTCCTCACACACTAGGAAACAGTTCTTACTTCTTTACCATCCGGTGTTCCTCAACTTTAAATTACTGTCACCAGTACCCGACATAAACCTGGAGCCGCCAAGGGTTTATGTTGGCTCCGTTTTAGAGGCTCTGGGTCCAAGACTGGTCCCACTGGGCTGAGTCTGTGGAAGGGTTCCACATTACAGCAAGGAGGGCAGAGCAGAGCAGAGCAAACCATTCATCACATGGCCGCATCTCAGGCCCACAGTGAGGACACAGCCGCCCATCTCAGATCCACAGTGAGGACACAGCCCCCCCCCCCAGGCATCTCAGATCCACAGTGAGGACACAGCCCCCCCCCAGACATCTCAGACCCACAGTGAGGACACAGCCCCCCCCCAGACATCTCAGACCCACAGTGAGAACACAGCCCCCCCCCAGGCATCTCAGATCAATGGTGAGGGCACAGCGCCCCCCATCTCAGACCCACAGTGAGGACACAGCCCCCCCCCCCGACATCTCAGACCCACAGTGAGAACACAGCCCCCCCCCAGGCATCTCAGACCCACAGTGAGGACACAGCCCCCCCAGACATCTCAGATTAATGGTGAGGGCACAGCCCCCCAGACATCTCAGATCCACAGTGAGAACACAGCCCCTCCCCCCGACATCTCAGATCCACAGTGAGGACACAGCCCCCCCCAGACATCTCAGACCCACAGTGAGAACACAGCCCCTCCCCCCGACATCTCAGATCCACAGTGAGGACACAGCCCCCCCAGACATCTCAGATCAATGGTGAGGACACAGTCCCCCCAGACATCTCAGACCCACAGTAGGACACAGCCCCCCAAGTCATCTCAGGCCCCTAGTGAGAGCATAGACCCTGGAGGAATCTCAGATCAATGGTGAGGGCACAGTCCGCCAGGGCATCTCAGGCCCAGGGTAAGGGCTTGCTCCCCCAGAGTCAGCCTCCCATCTCTTAAAGGTCCCTACCACCTTCTGAGAACAAATCACAGGCTGAGGGCTGAGCTTTTCCCACTTGGACTTCCGGGAGACACAGAGGATCCAGTCCCAGCTCTGACCCACTGCAGTTCTCTTTCTTCTCAGTGGTGACCTCCTAGCGTCCCAGGGTGACCCAATGTCCTCAGTTCTCCCTGTGTCTCCTTTAACTGAACTCTCGGGTGCATCACAATGGCCCTGGGGTTCTCTGCTGGCTGCATCTTTGTTCTCAGGGAGGACACCTCTGTGAACTCTTGGCCTGGGGTCCCACAAGACTCCAGCACCTACAGACGGGTAAACTGCCAGGGAGGAGCCCTCTCTGAGAATTTCCTGGTGGCGGAATATGATTTTGATGCTGAATTAGCTAAAATTATCTGTCATACTGGTTGCCCCATCTGGGTTCAAGTCATTTCTTATAAGGTAAGTAACTGGTTACATGTTCATAAAGTTTTTAAGCTGCACAGGATTGGGGAAGACTAAACTCTCAAGACAATTTAGGAAATGAAAGCAAGTGTCTCTTCATTCTAAAGTGGCTAGAAGAATAATGTCTACAAATCGTTGGAATTTTAAAAAATACATTTAGATAATCTCTCAGACTTTACTCAGGAATCCCTACTATTCCAAACACCCAAACCCCTAAGCCCAGGCCTCCTGAAGCAGTAATCAGTCGGGACACTGGTCTGATAAAGTGAGGGAAACCGGGGCTCCCTTGTCAAACTAGAGTGCCTGGGGGCGGGGGCGGGGGGCATGGGGCTCGGACTCCTCCACTCGTGCAGAACTTCCTTCGTCACCCTAAGTCTTCTCCTTGGGGACCGGCTGTCTGGCAGCCACTGAGGGCTGGCTCTGCACTGTCCCATGCGGGGACAGGCCAGGTGAGCAGCCGTACAGCACCCTCTAGCACAGGGCTGGCTCCTGCACTCACGGTGGTGAGAGCCATTGAAGACCCTGAGACTACTGTGTCTGCGGCTCAGACACGGAGGCAGGCGGGCTGCGTTTATCTAGCAGCATCCTTTCTATTTCCGATGGCGTCTTAATCGAATCGGTTATCAAAAGCTGGAACCCCGTGCTGAAATAAAAACTCACCCACACAGTTTCTAAGGTCATGTCCAAACCCAAACCCAAAGTGAGACCGAAACATTTCCTAAAGTGAAGGGAACCCGCGGTCGCGGGGAAGATGAGAGACCCCTTTTGGACAGGAATCAAGTTCCTCTCACATTCCAAAATACAGTGAGAGATAAAAACTGCAGGATTGGCCCTGAAGCCCCTGTGTAAGAATAAGGATTTGTCCCGGCAAAGGAGACTTAGACTTTGGCCCTTAACCCACTCACTCACTGTCTACGGCTGCACAGCCTGGGGCGACTTCTTTAGTTCTGTAATCCTCCCAACCTGCAATCATGGTGAAGAGCTCAGGAGGCCATCCTACCGTAAGACACACACACACACACACACACACACACACACACACAGAAACGCAGACACACAAACACAGGTGCACACACGTACACAGATACACACACAGACACACATGCACAAAAACAGACACACACGTGCACATAGACGCATACATATACCCACAGGTGCACAGCCACATACACGCACACACACAGACACAGGTGCACACACAAACAGATATACACGTGCACACAGACACACACAGGTGTACACACACAGAGACACACACGTGCTGCACACAGACACACACACACACCAACAGGTGCACACACACACACACACAGACACAGGTACACACACAGATACACACGTGCAGACACACCCACAGGTGCACACACACACAGACACATACACACACCCACAGGTGCATACACACAGACACATACACACACACACACACACACACACACACACGTGCTCACGCAGACCTTCTACCTAGACTCAGCATCTCACGCTGACCGGTGTCCTTGCAGCTGTCCATCGTACCCTCCCTCCCTCTCCGTCTGTCACCTCATTTGTCAAACAGCACCAAACGCCCCTTTTGATGCACCCTGTGCCAACTCTCAAAGCACAGGATGCAGTGGCGGAGCCTAAGGACAGCAAATGCGGGACATTGGCACAAAAACACTGGCGCAGAGCTGGGCTAAGGAATCTTCCAGGCCAGCCCAGCGTGAGAGGGCAGAGACGGCGGCTGAGGAAACGGCAGGTGGTCAAGGTAGCCAAGGAGAGGGTCTACAAGTGGACGCGCCGAGCCTGTGGGAAGTTCTACTCTGCCTGGGAGCCTTGCACTAGGAAATGGAAGTTCTCAGTTAAGAGTGCTGCATACGGGAAAAGACTCGTGTCTTCGCGAGAGACACCCCAGACACAGGCCAGCACTTCTTGTCAGAAACCTTTTCACGGGCTCTGTGTGATAACAGCACAGGATGCATGCACAGGGTCTCAGGCAATAAGTTTCTATGTGCTGAAATGCCACGCTCCTGGGTAGCATCTGAAAAGCGTAACCCCACAGAAAACATTCACGATGCAACTTAACAACGACAAAGCCCTATCTAGAAAAGGAACCAGGGCAGTCAGTCACTACTACAGCAGCTGAAGGCCCGGCAGCTTCTGAGTTACCTCACGTTCTGTTTCCTCGCCCAACAGGAAGTACGGCAGTGGCCCCCGGTGAGGCTCGAGTACGTTATTCTGGAAGGTCGCCATGGATCCCAGTAGTTTGGTACCACAGGTAACTTCATTACCACTTCTGAGAGAAGCAGCCGGGTCCTCAAACTGCCTCAGGTTCAGGGTAGGGCATGGTGGCTCACACCTGTAGTCCAGCACTTGGGAGACAGAGGCAGGGAGGCCTGTGCAAGTTCCAAGCCAGCCAGGGAGACCCCGTGGGACCCTGTGTCAAAGGGGGGGTGGAGGACGAGGTGGCGGCAGCCATATTAAGTCACTTACTAAGAACACAGTAGAAGCTGTGCTTAGGTGCCTTTTAAAAGCTGACATATCATGTGTAGCTGATGCAAAGACACTGGACGAGAGGCAGGGGCCCCCTTCAGAGAGAGCTGAGTGCTGAGTAGTCGGACAGCAGTGCTGGGGCTGCTCGATCCCCTTCCACGAGTTTCACTTCCCTTCTCAGCTTAGAACACTCCTGCATGTAAATTCTTCCAGCTAGACTTCCCCAGTCCTTCCTAAGATTTGCAGAGATGTTTATGCAAAAAAAAAAAAAAGGAAGGTAGGAAGGAAGGAAGGAAGGAAGGAAGGAAGGAAGGAAGGAAGGAAGGAAGGAAAGAAAGAAAGAAAGAAAGAAAGAAAGAAAGAAAGAAAGAAGGAAAGAAAGAAAGAAAGAAGGAAAGAAAGAAGGAAAGAAGGAAAGAAAGAAAGAAAACACAATGCTAGACTTCCTTGGGACAGACCAGGGACCAAGTAGCGGAAAGTGGCCACAGGACCCGGGAGCAGACCCCCAGGGCAGAGTGGAGGCAGGGGGCCATGGTGCCTGGAAATTTCGAAATGTGAGAAGCGATATGATATAATTTACAAACCTGGTAGCGACAGCCGAGGGGTGCCTGTGCTTTGGCACAGGGAGGATTTTTCCTGGATTAGAGTTCTCCAAATCCTGTCACTTGAGTTCTGTGCAGTCGATCGCAGAGAGGCAACGCAGGAAAGACGGCGACAAAGCCAGACCAAGTCACACAGCTTAGAAAGAGGCCAGGCTCTGAACCCTGCTCTGCCCAACATCAAATCTCCTTCCTATAAATGACGCAGGCTTCACACATCAAAACAAGCAGCTAATTCAAGAAATTTTCCCCTTTCATGTGCCTTTCTTGAAGGTCTGCTATCACCTCGAGGGGAGGCTGAGCTGAGCAGGACCTCATAAACAAATCACTTGTGAGAGAGGAAAAACCACATCCAGGGTAAAGCCCCACACTGAGAACATTATTTCAGAGCACTTCCTGAAAGAGGCAGAGAGGCTCTCGGCCTAGCAGACAGCCCCGTATCGCTACTACATCTCCAGCAGCGTTTCCACAGAGAGCCAGAGCACCGGCTGTGTAACCCGCGCTCTGAGAGCTCTTTGCAGGACCTTGTCACCTCTCAGACAGCCCTCTGACCAGAGGTTAGCATCATCCAGCAACTTGGTGGTAAGTTGTTATCAGAAGGGACGCTGTGTCTGCTAAGCAGAAGCTCTGCCCCACTGACCGGCACTCATTTTCCGTATTTTATCTTGGTAGTAAGTGCAGAGTTTTAGAATCCTTTATTTCATTTCTGAGATTACAATTACATCATTCCTTTCCTCCCTCCAAACCTTCCCACATATACACCTCCTTGCTCTTTCGATTTCTTGGCCTCTTTCTCATTAATTGTACTCTCTCTCTCTCTCTTTCTCTCTCTCTCTATCTGTCTCTCTCTCACACACACCCTGCTCAGTCTGTATGTAGAGAGAGAGAGAGAGAGAGAGAGAGAGAGAGAGAGAGAGAGAGAGAGAGAGAGAGAGAGTGTGTGTGTGTGTGTGTGTGTGTGTGTGTTTTCAGCACCGGATAGGATAGGCAGTTGGTGTGCTCTTACATGGGGACCGGCCACCAGCACTTCTCTGTGTCAGACTAAGGCCTCACTCTCTTTCCCCCATCCATTTAGCATAATGTTGACAGCAGCACGGTACACCATGACATATCTCGGTGTCTTTACCATGTGGTTTCAGTTATGTTGCTGCGTGAAATTAGTTGGTTTTAAGAAAAAAACCACAGATAATCACGGGATTCACTTTTTCAAAAGTTAACCTGAAGGCCAATCAGTTTTTAAACACTTCCCCCAGAATCCTGCAGGACACAGCCCGTATGGTAACACGAGACACGTGCATCACACGGGAGGACATGAGCAAGGATCGGTGACAAGAGGACACAGAAAAGCAGCCAGGAGGGAGGGGTGTGCAGGCAGGATGGCCAGCATGGTTTATAAACACAGGAGTTCCCACGGCACTATCAGGGGGGAGGAGGGACTGTGAAACTTCCTCTACTTTGCAATGCTATTTTAAAACCTACTCAGCATTAAAATGTTTAAGCCTCCAAGCTAGTCTCCTTTGCTTAATGATAAAGACTTACCTTCTCTACGCAGAGATATTCTCATTTGGGTAGAAACTAACATTCTGGTTATATAAATGTTTTTTGGGGGGCGTGTTTTAGACAGGGCCTCACTGGCTGGCCTGGAACTCAGGCCTTAAACGGAGTTCCACTGCCCTCTGCCTAAGTACCGGGATTAAAAGCGCATGTCACCACCCTCGGGCTTATTTGGAAATCTTACTACACATTTTCAGACATACAGGATTTTATTCCAAAATCTCATTTAAGCGAGATATATGACAAAAGGTCAAGGGAAGAGGGGAGGAGGAAGCAGTCGCTCGAGTTAATTCTCGTCGACCGACTGTGGGCTGCTCATCCTTCCTGTAATTTTCACCAGAGACACACTCGGGCTGAATTAGACATAAGCACCCTCCAAAGTGACACTCTTAGAGAAAGCTGCTCACATTCCCAAGAGATGCTGCTAAGTCCCGTCTCCTTATAGTAAGTATTTTTAAGTCTCTGCTGGCGCTGCAGCTGGGCGAGGGAGTCTCACACTGAGAGCCCCTTACTTATATAAACACTAGTAAACTCATTTCTTCTCTAAGTAAACACTCTTTGATGGTGAGATTTACTTTCCGTATGCACACGCCAGGACTTCTCAGGCCCGATTCCCTTGGACAGAGTTTATGTTCATCTAGGCAGGGCAGGGGTCTGAAAGTCGCTAGGCTAGAGAAACACCCTCAGAGCACCGATTCTCTGCACCCCACGGATGCGCCTGCCCTCGGATTCCAGGACCCTGGTGAGCAAAACCTGGAGGCCCCTGCCTCAGACACTCCCAACCGCCTGCCTACCTGCTGCTCTGGGACTTAGTGGACCGTGACACAGAATAGCAGTGAGTCTAGACCTACGACGCTCTGAAGAGAGTACAGGGTGGCACTAGGAAGCAAGGTTTGCAACTTGGGAAAAAAGGTGTGGGATGGGTCAACAGAGAATTTACAAGACCACGCTCTGCCCAGGCAGACAGGAGCTGCTGGGGGCCACCGAGCACCTCCTATTGTGTGGGACAGCGGCCGCGGAGACAGAGCAGTGAGAGGAACCCACGCTCTCGCCCGAGAGCTACCGTCTCCAGCTGCCCTGACTCTTCTGTACGTGTCCTCACACATGCTTGGCAAATTGCGATTGTGCTTAGTGAATGAGAAGTGCCTGAACATTGCTATCACGATTGTGCTTAGTGAATAAGAAGTGCCTGAACATTGCCCCCGTTACTCCAGAGAACTCTGTCTCTTAATTGATTATTTGGGAAAGAGAGAGATGAGGAAGGCCAATGAAACTAGATGAAACTCATTTGAACTGACTGGCACATTCTAAAGACTGAAGCTGGGCATGGTCACGGCACTCAGGAGGCAGAGGCAGGCAGAACTCTGTGAGGTGAAGACCAGTTTGGTTTAAATAGTGAGTTCCAGGACAGCCAGGGTCGCACAGAGAAGAAGTCCCGCCTCCAAAATAAATAAATGAAAAGTAGGGCACACAGCATATGTGAAGACCTGTGTTCAATGCCCAGTGCTACAAAAATAAGAACCAAAAGTTAAAAAGAAATCGGTAAATAGCAATAACTTTAGGGTGTGTGTTCTTGAAAAATCCAAGGCGTGAGCATGGAGTTTTCCGTATGAGGTGCCCTCAACTTTATAACTCACTAACGGCAGACAGCCTGACATTGTTCTGCCTCTTTCCAAGCAAAGCTCTTACCCCATTTCCTTACGTCTTACAGTCTCTGCACGCCATGGGCGCCGGCCTGCTCTAAGATGACCACCCACAGCGATCTCGATCAGTTGGTCCTTTCTAACCGCTCGTACCCAGATGAATACAAAATCGCAGCCCTGGTCTTCTACAGCTGCATCTTCCTGATTGGACTGTTTGTGAATGTCACCGCGCTATGGGTTTTCAGCTGTACGACCAAGAAAAGAACCACCGTCACCGTCTACATGATGAATGTCGCACTACTGGACTTAATATTTATATTGAGCCTGCCCTTTCGCATGTTTTACTATGCAAAGGGTGAGTGGCCATTTGGGGAGTATTTCTGCCACATCCTTGGGATCCTGGTGGTGTTTTACCCCGGCCTTGCTCTGTGGCTGCTTGCTTTCATCAGCGCTGACAGATACATGGCCATAGTGCAGCCAAAATACGCCAAGGAGCTCAAGAACACCTCCAAGGCTGTGCTCGCCTGTGTGGGGGTCTGGATAATGACCCTGACAACCACTGTCCCCCTGATACTGCTCTACGAAGACCCCGACGAGGCCGCCTCCCCTGCCACCTGCCTGAAGATCTCCGACATCGTCCACTTGAAAGCTGTCAACGTGCTCAACTTCACGCGGCTCGTGTTCTTCTTCCTGATCCCGCTGTTCATCATGATCGGGTGCTACGTGGTGGTCATTCACAGCCTCCTGCGCGGGCAGACCTCGAGGCTGAAGCCCAAGGTGAAGGAGAAGTCCATCAGGATCATCATCACGCTGCTGGTGCAGGTGCTGGTCTGCTTCATGCCCTTCCACGTCTGCTTCGCATTCCTGATGCTCCACGGGGAGGGGGACAGCTACAGCCCCTGGGGGGCCTTCGCCACCTTCCTCATGAACCTCAGCACGTGCCTGGACGTCGTCCTCTACTACATTGTCTCCAAGCAATTCCAGGCCCGGGTCATCAGTGTCATGCTGTACCGCAATTACCTCCGGAGCGTGCGCAGGAAAAGCTTCCGGTCCGGCAGCTTGCGGTCGCTTAGCAACATGAACAGCGAGATGCTGTGAGTCAGAGTGAATGGCCTGTCTTTCATTTCTTCAAGACCCTTTTTATGCCTGCTTTCGGGTGAACTAGCATCCTATATATTATCCAGTCCCTTCTATGGTTAAAAAAAAAAAAAGAAATGACAATAATAAACTTAGAAAACATCTGCGGTGTCTTGTTATTCCAGCAACATGATTAAATACTGGGTATTCCCGATATGCTTTTGTTCTTATCTTACGACTTCTAAAGCATGGGCATGAGCCATTTGTGGTGGGCATGCCTGTGGTCCCACCGTTCATGAGGCAGAGGAAGGCCAGCCCAGGCCACATAGTGAGACTGTCTTTAAAAAACAGTAATAAAAATATAGATAACATATTCATGAATTACCAGGAGAGGGTCACCCAAATTAGGTTTGAGAGTCATGCCTTACCTGAGCAGGTTGTTAACAGGGTTAACTTTTCTGATTGAATTCTGTATACAAGTGACTCATGGGGGGGGAAGCTATTCAAAATAATTTTATAGATCTCCTTATATCAGTTCACACTTGGGAGGGCAGTCTGAGTTCAGTATTGTATCAGTCTACACCGAGGATGGCAGTCTGAGTTCAGTATTTCATGGGTTCACACCTGGATGGCAGTCTGAGCTCAGTATTCTATCTGTTCATACTTGGTATAGCTGTCTGAGTTCAGTATTATAACAATTCACACCTGGGATGGCAGTCTGAATTCAATATTTCATCAGTTCACATCTGAGAGTGCAGTCTGAGCTCAGTGTTCTAGGTTCTACACATCAGCTTTCACGGTTTCTACACAAGCAGCTCTATTCAACACAGGAATTACCTGATGGCAACAGGGCGCTCCAGCAGGCCCCCCCATCATTTCTTTCAGCAAGCTCTCGCTAGTTCCCAAACCCCACCCCACTTACAGGAAATGTTGTAAAGGTAACTGAGATCCCATTCTGCCCCAATAAACTGACATTCTTACGACAGGAGATGCTAAGTAGTTAAATAACTTGTCACAATACCAGCAGCTTGCTCTCCTTACATGGCTGAAAATACATTATAAAAATGTTTCCAGACCACACAGTTAGTCAGGGAATCTTCGTTCTGATCTTAGCCTGCCCATTTGATTTCTCCACAAAGAAACACCTTGTCTGAAAGCAAAGGAACTGAACTACAACCTACAAACTCCTATTCTAAACATGGACATAAAATGACTCAGCTCAAAACTTCCTCTGGAAAATAACCTCCATTACTCTTTTGTTTGGGACAGGCTGTAACTCTGGATGTCCCGGAACTCGGAGATCTACCTGCCTCTGCCTCCCCTCCAGGTCGGGGACCGGTTTTTCAACAATAAAGTAAACCATTTGTAAAAAGGTACTGTGATAACTAGAGGATCTGGGAGCAAAGGCGGAACTTTGATGCAGTTTCTCAACAGAGAAAATGATGGGCGATTTCAGGCTCAAGAGTCAAGTGAGTAAAACCCTTCACTAAACACTGGAGAGGAAGTGAGGGGAGGGGGAGAGGAGGGGTAGAGAGGGGAACAAGGGGGAGCCCCTGTAGTTAACCCACAGTTTAGGATTCAAATGCACACAGCACTAGCCTAGCGTGTGACTCCTAGAGGGACGGAATGGGTGCTTAGGCACCGGCTATCTTCAACCATTCAGACAGCTCTACCCTTTCTAACGGGGTTCCTTCAAGAACGTGGCGTGAAAGCATAAGACAATGAGACTGCAGACACAACGCACGGGGGTGAGATGTGTGCTGTGGTCCTCGCCGGGAAACCAGCACAGTGAAAACCAAGTCGTTCACCACTGTAATCAGAGAGCGTTCACCACTGTAGTCAATCAGAGAGCGTTCACCACTGTAATCAATCAGAGAGTGTTCACCACTGTAATCAATCAGAGAGCGTTCACCACTGTAGTCAATCAGTGCGTTCACCACTGTAGTCAATCAGAGAGCGTTCACCACTGTAGTCAATCAGAGTACGTTTACCACTGTAATCAGAGTGCGTTTCCCACTGTAGTCAATCAGAGTGCGTTTACCACTATAATCAGATACTCTGTAAAACTGACTGCGTTTGTTCATCGGGTGTGTGTACACGTGGGCACGTCTGTGCCACAGCATGTGTGTGGAGACCAGAGAACAACATGGGCTTCCAGGGATCACACTCATGCATGAGTGTGGCTTGGCAGCAATAGCCTGATGGATCTCACCAAACACACTCTGACATACGAAAAAAAAAATTCATTCTGGAGGGGTTTGATTCTAGAAAACAGACACCCAACATGTAAACATTAACAGCTAATAAACAGTGTGTGGAGCTCAGCTACCAGACACAGCGAACATGTTTAGCTTTCAATAATGTAGCTACTTTGAAAACAATGGGGTTTCTTTTTTCCTGAGTAGAAGTTGTGAACATCCATTAAATGTCAGGTGCAGTTTCTGCACAGAGCACTGAGAAAAGCCTGCGTCAACCTCTGCTACGTCAACAACCTTGCTTAGAGCCTTAGGTAGGCAACTATCAGTGTCTCCCGAGTGTACCAAGTACATAATGGACCTAGGCTCCTTCTCAGGGACCTAGACAACAGCACAGAAGGTCAGTGAAGAGAATTCTATGATTCTAAGTAAACCCAATAGATATTCACTGAATTAGCAAAACATCTACTGTGACACACGCACGAGGATGAGCAATTCTGCCAGACGGCAAGAGGCAGCCGAGAGCAAGCTGGTGGGGGGGGGGGGAGGGGCTGGGAGTGGAAAGCCTCGGGTTACGGGGAAGAAGGGAACCGAGCATCGGGCTTGCCACCACTTGCTGCTAGTGAAGGAGCCCCCTCCCATCAGCCCTCTTCCTCACCCTGTGCCATAGAGCGCCTCCAACTGACGAGAGTGCCGACCGGATATGAACTGGGCTCAGAAAACAGAGTCCAGGCACTTGCAAGATGTCACTAAACTAGTAACCGGCACAGCTGGGGCCCCAAACGGTGAGGGCAAAGTCCATGCTGCCTGTTCCTCCCACCTCTACCGACAGCACCTGTGGAGTCTGACCCCTATTCCAAAGAAAATGGAGATTTCAAGGTCTTGGGGTTTTGTGGGCTTTTTTTTAATTTTAATTCTAGCACAGCTGTGACAGCTGTTTCCATTCTTTAACACTGATTTTTTGTAGTGTGCGTTGCGTGTACGTGTGTGTGTAAATGTGTGTGTGTTTGTGTTTGTGTGAGGGAGAGAATGTGCCTTGGCTCTTGGCTAATAAGTGTTTTATTCATTAATCAATAAGAGAAGCATATATACAGAAGGACGGCCATCTCACACACACACTCACACACACACACACACACACACACACACACACACACACACACACACCTCCAGAACTCAGCAGCCTTTGTTAAGAACCAATAAGAACTGGTCAGATAAGGCCTATTCTGAGAGAAGTGAGTTCCTGGGCAAGGCTGCTGAGCTAACACAGAAGCCTCCTCCATCACCACACCCAGGTGTGAGCAGCAGCCCACGCTCCCCGTTTACCACACGCACAACGCGTGCGACACAAGGCTACGAGGGAGTGATGAGACGGGAGAAGCCACGCACACGCCCCATCTACTGCACCAAGAATGCACGCCACGCGACCGGGGCACGCTAACACCTTGTGCCACTCGGCAAAGCCGTGCAGTGCTGACCACAGAGCCCTGTATCCCCAACTCGGGTAAGACGCAGAGCAACATGTTATCACAACAGCTGAAGGACGCCGTTCATGGCGACTCTAACCGGAACACTAGTTTTATGTCTAAAACAGAGATCCAGCCCGTTTCAGAATCAAGGGACCTGTTTTACCTGACGTTTCTCAAACCCACGCTGCAAAATTAGAACAAGGCTAAAGTCAGTGCACGACACAGAACGTTAAATATCCAGTTTCTCTATTTGCACACCACAGTTCCTCGCAGACACAGGCTCATATATCTAATTCTGATATGCTTTAGGCCTTCTGCCTGCACTGAAAACTCTGCTCTTGGCTCCCAGTTGCTCCTGGGGCTAACACAGTTGTACTTGAAAGCAGGATTGAGCCCGACTGTCACCATAGGAAGCACAAAGTTATTATTAGCTGTACACTGGCTTTGTTTGACCTTTGATGGAAGTATACAAAATAATCTAAAAGCCTCTTCAGAAACTCAACCTCAGTATATTTATTTTGTTAATCCGGGCTAATTAAATATGGATTTTTTAACGTTTAATTAGTTCATAAAATTACAGCAGCAAGATATCACTATGAAAATACACAAAACAAATTCAATTTGGGGGATCCAGGGTGGTGGTAGGTTTACCATCCCAGCACCCAGAAAGCCTGAATCAGAAGAATCTTGTATTAGAGGTCATCCTAGGCTATACATATGAGACACCATCTCAAACAAATTATGGAATAATTTCAAAGATGAAAGAAAAAGGACAATACTATGAAACTATTTTATGAGCATAAGGAATATGTAAGTATATACTGTATTTTCTTTATACACATACTTACTGTATCTGAAAGTACAAATTATCTTTTCTTAGACAGAATCTCACTATGTAGTCCTGGCTGTCCTGAAACTCGTTCTGTGCACCAGGCTGGCCTTGAAATCATAGAGATCTACCTGCCTCTGCCTCCTGAGTGCCTGGACTAAAGGTATGGTCACTACAGCCGTCTTAAAAGACCTTTGGTGAGAGTTCGTGAATGACGACAGTGTTCCGAATAGATTTGAGAATCCTAGGTAAACAACTCCAAACTATGAGCTACTTACAATCCCGAAGGCAAATTGCTGGCCACAGCGATGCCAAACGAATACTGCACGGCTTCCACAAGGATGAGGTCAAACAAGGCTGACAAGACCCAGGAGCCCAGCAAGAAGGACTAAAAAATGAAACGAAAACCAGAAAATGAGTTGCCTTAAAATAACAGCTATTTAGTTATCATGAATTCGGGAGTGTGAGTGGGACAGGAGGCCATGTGTGCACATAAACACATAGATATGCAAACTACGTATATATGTATATATGCATAAGCATAGTTTTTTGGGTTTTGGGGTTTTTTTTTTTGTTTTGGTTTTTGTTTTGGTTTTTTCGAGACAGGGTTTCTCTGTGGCTTTGGAGGCTGTCCTGGAACTCGCTCTGTAGACCAGGCTGGCCTCGAACTCACAGAGATCCGCCTGCCTCTGCCTCCCGAGTGCTGGGATTTAAGGCGTGTGCCACCAACGCCTGGCCCATAAGCATAGTTTTAACATTGTTTTTGTTACTTTCCAAACTTGGGGAATAAATCATAATTGTTGACATGCATTGGTTTCTAAAGTTTCTAGACATGTTGGAAAACAACATTTAATTAAAACATACTGCTGTGTGGGGTTGGTGAAGATCCTTTCCCAGTCTGTGGGCTGCTGTTTTGTCTTGCTGACTGTGCCCTTTGCCTTACAGAAGCTTCTCAGTTTCAGGAGGTTCCTGTGTGTTAACTGTCGAGCTTGGTGTCTGTGCTACTGCTGTTATGTTCAGGAAGTGGTCTCCTGTGTCAATTCGATCAAGGGTGCCCCCCACTTTCTCTTCTGAGAGGTTCTTTAGAACCTTTCTCCTCCTACTGGGTTTCTTTGTCCAGCCTTCATAGGAGGGGCTGGGCCTAGTTTTATTGCAACTTAATATGCCCGTTTGGTTGCTATCCCTGACGAGAAAGGAGTGACTCTTGGGGAGAGGGGATGTGGGGGGGAGGGTACTGAGAGGAGAGGATGGAGAGGAAACTGTGGTCGGTAATATATGAGTGGAAAAATAAAAGGAAAGAAAGAGAAAAAAGTACAAAGTCTGTCTAAATACACCTGTCAGCATAATGGCCACTGGGTTCACTGCTCACTGGCATCCTTGAGAGTGCCTCCTGCTGCTCTGTAATAAACTGCCTTTCTTCTACACCGTAAAAGCAAATAGGTAAATAAGTAAAACATGCTGCTAGTAAGTAGTACAAGTACTATTAGGCCAAGTAAGTGACCAGAATCTCACTAGCTAAAGTTCCAATTAAAATTTTTATTGCTGGCACATGCAATGTCGTGCAGCACCATCACAGCCAGTCACTGTTTTATCATGCTATCGGCTTAAACTAAAGTACGCATCACGTAATTTAAGAGACGATTATAAGCAATACGCTAAGTGTTAGAAAACGGAAGGCATTTTAAAACAAGGGTCTGGGCAGTACTGTTTCCTGTAATCCCAGCTGCTCTGGGGAAATAAGCGAGGCTTTACTTCAAAGTTCAGAAATAAATAAATAAATAAATAAATAGCTGGAGATGGAGCTGGTGGCAAAATGTGCTTGCCTAGCGCTCTGGAGACCCTAGGAAGTGCCGAATATGCAAATACAGAATACAGATGAGGCCATTTCGCTCTGGAACCTCAGTAGAAAGAGTCAACACATCAAGTAACTTACTGCAAACTTCCTGCTCCCGTATCTTCTTTCAAACATCCTGAAGTTGTAAATGAGAAGACTACTGCAGAAAGTATCTTTCAAGTCAAGGCAGACCACTCTCCCGCATACCAGCCTCCAAATCTAGACAGGGGTCAAAAACAGAACACCCAGTGAGTGACATCGGTCCAGTTCGGGCTCCGGGGGTGACTACGCATGCCTGATGTCAAAGGCGAATCCTAGATTCCCTCCGACAGCGAGAAGTCTCTTCGCTTACCATGATAAGATGCACGCGGTTAAGACAACAGAGGATTCCTCGTGAACCTCACTGGTCAGGGCACCTGCGGCCAAGCCTGACACCATGAGTTCAAGCCCCAGAACCCACCCACATCTTAATGGAAGGAGACAACTGACTCCATAGAGTTGTCCTGACTCCCACACGAGGCCCCACCCACGGCATGCTCACCACACACACAAACACACACACTCACACATATTCTCACAAACACTCACACATACACACATATTCATACACACTCACACATACACACATATTCACACACACTCACTCACACACACTCACACATATTCTCACACACAAACACACACTCACACATACACACATATTCACACACTCACACATACACACATATTCTAACACACAAACACACTCATACACACTCACTCACGCTCACTTACACACTCACACTCACTCTCACGCATACGCATATTCTCACACACAAACACACTCACACATACACACATATTCACACACACTCACTCACACATACACACATATTCTCACACACACTCACACTCACACACACATACACAATTCTCTCACACACACTCACATCACATACACATATATTCTCACACACACTCACACATACACACATATTCTCATACACACACAATCACCTGAAATGAAAGACTAATAAATGTTCACTTTATTATGTTCATACTACTGAATTTAAAAGCAAAGTTGCAAGTGACAATTTGAGTAAAAACTCAAAAATATCTCGGCTTCATCACCAAACAGCCACACCCACGGCAACTTTGGGGAATTGCTGATAAATATTAGCAGATTAAGATACTATCAGCTTTGAAAATCCATCTTTCTGCCTAGGTGAAAAAGAAATACACAAGGAAAATGCTACTTTTCAAAGACCAAGTTTTACTTTTCAACATTTTCCAAATTTGAATGACCCTGATGGCATCAGCAAAACACTGGCATCATTCCCCTTGACAGTTAGAACAGATTAGCCCCTGTGTCCCTTTGAATTGTTGTGGGATAAAATTTACCATGCTGACTACTTTTCAACACACGACTCAGTGTGGTTAGGAACCTACAGTGGTGTGTATAACCCTGTTACCCTAAATGCTGCACCATGAGACATCAGCCTGCCATCCCTCCCCACAGGCCATGGTGACCTCTGTGCAACTTTCTGCTTATGAATCTGCCTTTGCTAGGCACGGCACACGTGGGGTCACCTGGATGGGTCCTCTTGTGTCTAGCTAATTAACCCGGGAATAGCGTTTTCAAGGTTCACAGCGAAGCACGTCTGAGTCTCGTTCTCTCACTGCTGAATACTACTACAGTGTCTATATGCACAATGTTTTGTCTGCCGTCTGTCTACTGATGGACATAGGGATGTTCTACCATGAACAGTGTTGCTATGAGCAGTGGTAATACCCCATTCCAAGATCATCAAAATGAAACCACACGGCCCCTTCCTCTACCAAATAAAGTAACAGTGCAAATGACAAAGCCAGCTTGCCCTGCCAAAGCAGCCACAGCTGTCTCTGCTCCAAGCAAGAGGCCAGGCAGAGTTTCTGACACCAGTGAACTCCAAATTCCACAGTACTAGACCTGAGGAAGGGCCAGGAGACTCATTTACCTGCCTACCCGCTGAACCATCAGCACCAGGAAGTCTCCAACCAAGGAAGGAAGAGGAAAAGGTCCATGACACGGCAGGAATACTACCCCAAGCAGCCGTGCCACAGAGTCCGCAGATTAAGACTGCAGCAGTACCAGAACCACAGTGCAACTCTAGGCCAGCAAAGACTACGCCACGGAGAGTGGGCTCAGAAGGCTGCTGGGATGCCTGCCATCAACGCAGAGCAGCTAACAGACAACTCCACGCTGTGGTCAAAGCATCCTGGCAGCCACCAGGAAAAATGGAGGGGTGTGAGAATCAAGACTACAATTACTAACATGTGGCAATTTGTGTATCCAGAACTCTCATGGTTTGGTTTTCCTGTGGTTAATTTGGTGACCAGTCTTAAGTAATTCAGCCTTTATTGCCGTCCTCAAGGGACGTGATACAGGATTGCCTCTGTCACCTGACCCTGTGACAGGATGAACACCTTATCATCCACCAAGCCTGTGTCAGCTCTCCTGTGACCACCGGCCGTACAGACCAGAGGTGATGGACTTCCTGGACGCAGGAGCAAAGCTTCCGCTATTCAATAATAATTCGGTTGCCCTTTGTCCAAACCTACTGAAAACATGCCCAAGCTCCCCGCAGTTATTTCGGCATGTCTGGCGCCCCTCTTGGTTCATCCTCCTCTGAGGATCTAGTGGACACTTGGTACCCACGCTCCTGTGTGACTTCCCAGGGCAGAAGTGAAACTCCTCACTGCTCGGAAGCACTTCCTGTGAGTACACCCAGACACCTTAGAGCAGATACCTGTGAACCGTGCAGCAGGTGAGCTAACCGAAGCCCAGAAACTGGGGGGCTTTTACATCTCTTACAGAAGTGCTCAAGTCTCAAGGCTGACCTCACATTTGAATCCCAGGAGACTGGTGGGGTTTTCTTTTCTTTTCTTTTAATTAAAATTAAAATCATTAGTGTCCCATCAATTGCTCTTTTTATATACAGTTAACATATTTTCCTTTTTGTCTCTTTCTACTGTATATGACAGTTTTGGCTCCACGGAAGTGACTATCGAGTACACACAGTGCCTGTGGAGACCAGAAGAAGATGGTGGATCCCTGGAACTGGAGTTTGAGGTGGCTGTGAACAAACACGTAGGTGCTGGGAACAGAACCCGGGCCTTCTGCAAGAGTAGCACACGCTCTAAAGCACAGAGCCATCTCTCCAGCCGCCCCCACCCAGAGCCTTTCTACTCAGCTGGTCTAGCGTGAGAGTCTACGTGTTTTAATATATCTGTGTGTGTGTGTGTGTGTGTGTGTGTGTGTGTGTTCTATATATGTGCGTGGATGTGCACATACAAATCTAAGTGTATTTTTTTCTTAAGCCAAAGGTGAAAGGCTCCGCCTTTGTAACAGACAATGACACAATACAGACCTTTTGTCTAACAGAAGCAGTGACACAGGTCACTGACAGAAAGACACTCACAAGGACTCCGTGAATCCAGTGTAAGCAATGATCTAGTCCCATCACAATGAAGGAAGAGCCTCGGTGAGAGCTGAGGCAAAAGTTTTAAGCTCAGGGTGGCAAGGGAAGCGGCCAGGGCACCCAGCACACTGGCGCTAAGCTAACACTCTGGCCACACAAGACCCACTCGTCAATCTGGAAACAGAGCTCTGTTCTTTCCAATAGCAGAGTGATTTCTCTTTATCTAACTCTCTTCATAGAAGCATCAAATTAGAGTGTGTCACACACAAATGCACTTGGACTATTTCACCAAACACACAGGCTGTTTTTGAAAATGCTACCTGTGCCTATATAAAACAGATTAACATGGGCCAGAGGACAACTTGTGGGAGTGGGTTCTCTCCTACCACGGGGGTCCCAACGATTGAACTCGGGTTCTCGGGCTTGGTGGCAAGTGCCTTTAACGACAGAGCCATCGCACTAGCCCAAAATTTCTCTTGAAGGCACGGATTGTGTTTCCAGGAGTAAAACCTGAAGTACAAACCTATGAGTTCAGCAAAGGGGTAACACTGCAATCTCCCCATTACAATCTGCATACCGAAAGTATCAGCAAATGCAACTAGACAATGTGCTTGTCGGTGCAGTATTGACAATACTTACTGCAGATTTAGGGGCTTTGTGCCCAGCCCTAAATGAAGGATCTGTATCACACTCATCCCCCTGAGGCCGAGGTAACACAGCCAAAGAGGGAGCGGCAGGACTGTGAGAGCCAGGACTGGGGGAGAATGGCTGTGGGACCACGTCTCCCGGACAGGCCAAGGAGGCTACCCTCGTGCACTCACAGCTGTGGTGGCCTGAACAAGACCCGGATGGAGCGGGGCTGACCAGACCCCAGCCCTAGCTGGGACACTACGAGCGGCTGACGGCTGTTCTAAGGTTTCTTCAGAGGGTTGACCAGTTGCCTGTGCTGTAGAGGACGGCTCTGCACCCCTGTGCAGGTGTACAGTTCATTAGGAGGAGGAGGAGGAGGAAGAGGAGGAGGAGGAGGGAGAGGAGGAGGAGGGAGAGGAGGAGGAGACGGAGTTAGGAGAGGGACATGATGGATGTGGTTCTGGGAGGAGTTGCAGGGGGACAGAGAGGATAGATATAATCAAGATATAAGAACACTCTTAAAGAACAACTTTAAAATGCTACTTTTTTGAAACCTGAGGGGTTTCGAGGGGGGTAATTAACTGAAGGGAGGAGAGGCCTGTCTAGGAAAACATCCCCTCTCCTCCCAGAGGCCAAAGGGGCTGTGAGCCTACCTGGAAGTCGTTCTTGACGGCGTGGAGGTCATACACGAAGAACTTCTGGCAGTGAGGCAGCAAGAGAGTCAGCAGCAGGGACAGGGCGCTGGGGACCAGCAGGAGACTCTTCGACAGAGGGGCCTTGTCTAGGAAGGAGGAAAACACATCCAGAATGACGGGGATTTTTAAAAGCAGACAGACAAAAACCCACACAGATGAAAAGCAGGAGAGCTGATTTGTTCTGGATGAGAACGAAGACTGAGCCCGGTAGCTCTGGCATTTGGTTCTTAGTAAAACACCAGCAGTAATGGCTGAGGGCAGGAGGCAGGCACGACTCTCTGGAAAGGCGGCACTGCTAGCGAGCGGTCTCTGACCACAGTAAATACTCAGTGGCCTCCAGACAACACCCAAACTCGCGCAACTACAAGTGCGAACTATCTCCCAGCAATGAGGGCCCGAGGGTGACGGAGATTCACACATTGGTTTGAGAAGTTTTTAAAAGGGGATTTAAGTGCTAACACTGCTCACTGCAGTGGTCTCCTGAGGTCTTCCACAGTGAGCACAGAAGGAACCCAGTCAAGTGTTCCATGGGGGCACACGGGGCCTCTGCCTCATCCTACGCAGCCATCAGCTTTGTGGTTGCTTCTGACGTGTGACTGTGATGACAGCCCCCGGCACATTGCGTGACACTGAAGTCACAGGGAATGAGACAGCCCAGCCCGGGTGTACGGCAGTTCACGCGCTCTTAGGAATGCAAAGGAGCCGCACTTCTCAATCCGCTCCAAACGTTTTTTGCAGGAAACGAAGCACTGTAGCCCTCCATGTCTCTAATATTTTTCATAAGCTACGGTGTACTAGATATTAACATCACCACTTTCCACTTCCCTGTACATTGTAACTGTAGATTACAGGATCTGTGGGGAGATGGGTCACACACCGGAGGGCATTAGACAACTTGTGAGTGTGGGTTCCCTCCCTCCACCTGGGGGTCCCAGGGACAGGGGCCAGCTCGCCACAGTTGGAGGTAAGGGCTTTATGTGGGGGGGGCGGGGCCACACCCCTCTGTTGCCCCTCACCTTAGTGACACAGGGTGTCACTGTACCTGGAGCTTGTGTGCCCCATTCCAGGTATGCTCATGGGGACAGGGGCCGCCCTCGCCTACTGCCCGGTCACACGGCGTCCCACTGGACCTGGCGCTTGCCGCCTGCACTAGACGGCTGGTTAACACTGCACCCAGGACCCAGCTGCCTCGACCCCCACCCCCCAGCCTGGAGTTACAGCGGCATACCCCACATCCGACTCTCCCAAGGGAACCAAGGATCTGAACTCTGGACTTTACGCTCGTGCAGCAAGCGCTGTACTTGCCCACTGAACCTGCCCTCAACAAAACACTCTGAAGAGCGTACAGACGACACAAAGCTTGGCCCGGTTTCAGCTAATGCAGCCGTCTGTGTGGCCCTGCAGTCTCGGGGGAAGGGGGGGCCTGTACAGCTGCCCATGCCCATCCTCTTTCCTCAGGCAAAGCGCACTCCCCGTTACCTCCTAGGAAGAATGACAACCTTGCCCTAGTTCTGCAGACCTCCACGCTCTGGGCCCGCCCACCTCCGGTCACAACTGCCCATCCCTGCTCTGCGGAACCCCCTTCCTCTGCCACACAGTGGCTCTTGGGGTCTGCTGGGAGATGCTTCCAGGCTCCTTCCGCTGCCCTCCCCTGCCTGAGGGTGTGAAGGACATCAGATGGGACGCCCCATGCCTTACCCTGCACTCCACATGCCAGGACAGACAGAGTGCAGCCCCCAGACAGAGGAAGGACACTCCCGGTTCGCCAATGGAAGGCCACGGGAGACATCACTGAGGGGACCCTTTCAGATTCGTAGCTTATTTGTAAAATATTCCCTGCGGGTGGACTGGTCCGTTACAGTTGGCGCTGTGGTTACGGGCTTGTGCAAGCATACAGAAATAGCCCAGCCATTTCCTCCAGGGTTAACCCTGCACACATCTATACGGGAACCACCGCACAGTGCTGCACTGTCTTCACCGAGGCTTGCCAGACCCCAAACCTCCAGAGCACCCTACTGCCTGGGGCCTCGACAGGACACAAGGGCACCGTGGCTGTAATCGTGGCCAGCCTTAGATTAGCTCGAGCATGGACGGCTCGGCTCCTCTTGCCTACAGAATGGAGAATGGGAACTTACCTGCAGGATGTCAGAATTCGTGAGGGCTCAGTGGTAGGGCATTTGCCCAGCACCCCTGGGCCTTGGGCTTGATCCCCCGCCACTACCCCTCCCTGCAATCCCTAAAAAATGCTACGTGAGCCGGGTGATAGTGGCGCACGCCTTTAATCCCAGCACTCGGGAGGCAGAGGCAGGCGGATCTCTGTAAATTCGAAGCCAGGCTGGGCCGACAGCCTCCAAAGCAATACAGAGAAACCCTGTCTCGTAAAAAAAAAAAAAAAAAAAAAAAAAGCTATGTGAAGAGCTAACAGCCCTTCCCCACTACGGCAACCCCACTGGTGGTGGGCCTCTCTCCTAGGCCAGAGGGGCTCCTTCAACTGTGACAGGACCGGAGAGGGAGCAGACTGCCCCAGGTATACCCTGGAGGGAGCAGACAGACCGCAGCAGGTATACCCTGGAGAGAGGGAGCAGACTGCCCCAGGTGTACCCTGGAGAGCGGGCGCAGACTGCCCCAGGTGTACCCTGGAAGGATAGCGAGTCCTATGTCCACTTTTACCTGTCCCTGTGATAGACAGTCACACCTGCCTCGTCACCTCCTAGACAGACCAACTCGACTAGAGAAAACTACACAGTCGAACTTCAAGTTCCCAGGCCCCCAAGCTTTTACACTGGCACAGTTCCCTGACTGGCAATTCCAATTCTGCTCTCTGGAACCCAGCCTGGCCTTCTTACCATCCCTCCCTCCTCCCCATTCAGCTCAACTCCTCCCAGACTCCCCCCCTCCTCTCCACCGGTCCCCCTCCTCCCTGGTCCTCCCCAGTCTGTTCTGCCAATGACTAACTCAACAGGCTACCTTGGATGCCTCCCTAACCCACCTCTACAATCATTAGGCACGTACTATAAACCACGCACGTTCCTAGGCCCCAGGGTTCAGCAGGGATGCCAGGACAAAGGCCCTATTCTTACGGTGTTCACCATCACAGGAGAAAAAAGACAACAACAAAAAGGTAGACATGTATGTCAGATGGAAACAAATGCTATGGAAAATGGAGCAGCCAAAGCCCGAGGCTATAAATCCCCAGTGCAGTGGCCTCGGCCCCTCTCTCTCTCTCTCTCTCTCTCTCTCTCTCTCTCTCTCTCTCTCTCTCTCTCTCTCTCTCTCTCTCTCTCTCTCTCGCATGCACACATGCGCACACACACACACACAGAGCACAGACTCTATGATGGCAGCTCCAGGAGAAAAATCACACCGTTTCCTCTCTGAGTGTGGACCCTGGTGTGCACAGCTCCAGGAGAAAATCTGGGACCTGGGTGGCAGCCCCCAAAGAGTAAAACTAAAAGCCAGCAACTTCCTCCATCTCTTCTCTCCCTCCCCTTCTCCCTTCCCCTCCCCCACATCTTATGCCTCTCTCTGTCCATCCTTCCACCTATCATTTCTGGCTGCCATGAAGCAGCCTTCACCGCCGTGGTACCAACCTCACATAGCCCAAAGGCAATGGAGTGCAGGGCCAGTGGCGCGTCTGACTACAGATCAGCAGACTCCTAGCTGCTCAGAATGCGCTATACATATTTGTGCTGCTTCTCATGGCCCCTGCCCAAAGGCAATGGAACCAGCTAACTATGGATCTGCAGAAATCTTTCCTCTCTGTGAGACTGTTCTTCCCAGGTACCTGTCACTGTGGTGGAAAGCTCACATACATATATTCTCTCTCTCTCTCTCTCTCTTTCTCTCTCTCTCTCTCTCTCTCTCTCTCTCTCTCTCTCTCTCTCTCTCTCTCTCTCTCACACACACACACACACACACACACAGAGGATGGATTCAGGCCATAGCAGTTACCACAGATGTGCACAAAGGCCTTATTTATCACAAAGATACTCTCGTAAATTATGTTCTATGTGTAGGATGGAATAACATTCAACAGTAAGAAATGGGTGGTATAAAAATACTTTATACTGTTGGTGCACGCCTTTAATCCCATCAGTCGGGAGGCAGAGGCAGGCGGATCTCTGTGAGTTTGAGGCCAGTCTGGCTTACAAAGCAAGTTCCAGGGCAGTGAGAGCTGTTACACAGAGAAACCCTGTCTAGAAAATAAATACTTCATGACTTAAAAAGATGTTTCTAGCTAGGCGTTGGTGGTGCATGCCTTTAATCACAGCACTCAGGAGGCAGGGGCAGAGGCAGGCGGATCTCGTGAGTTTGAGGCCAGCCTGGTTGACAGAGTGAGTTCCCTTCAAGCAATAGAGAAACCCTGTCTCGAAAAAACAAAAATAAATGAAAATAAAAAATAAAAAGCTGTTTCTAAAAATAGTGTTAGTGACATTATAATACAATACTTTCAAGAAATAGTACATAAATAGATGTTTTATAAGGCATATCAAAATACTAACAACGGTAATCATGGTCTATTCATGAGATGCTTTGCTTTTTACACAAATCTATTTTAGTGGAAAATGAATTATTAACTAGTTACTTATTCAGGGAAGAGCTCACCGTACCCTCACACCCAGAGCTTAGGCAAGCCACTAGCAAACTTCCTGTCTGTGAGTGGGGCCAGGAAGTAGTTTGCACATCAGAGCCCAAGCAGTAAGCAAATACAGACATCTCTCTACCTTTGAAAATGGCAACGCACGGCTGGATGAGCCGACTAAAATCAAAGAGGAACCAGCTAAGGTGAATGTGGTAGGGAACACCAAAGTCAAGATTTCTTTGGAGCTGTTTAGCTCCTACTTCTCTATGGTATGGCCAAAGTTCACCATCGCCATTTGTGGCAATTAATACTAATACCACTTAGGCTTGGGTGTCTGTGACCATAAGATAATGACTATGATGACTCCGTTTCCAGTGGATTATCTCATGCACCACAATATCCTGATAAAGGGCCTTCCCGTGTCTCCTGAGTCCTTGTTATCTGCAGGCAGGAACTCACTGCTCACAGACTTTTGGTGAAGAAATGGGCTAGGAAGATTAAATA